AGATATAGCCTAATTTAAATATATTCTGAAACCAAACATAGAATTATGAATTTAATTCTAAATTTGGTTAATTTTACCATTCCACACTTGACCCACTCTCCATCAATGTGAACTAAATAAACAGGGTGGAGATAGGAAACTATCTCTATCCCTGGAAAAACTGGATACGCAAAGAAATCTTCTTTTCCAGATTTATCTAAATTTATACAGCCTAAATAAGTCATTTGAACTTTAAAAAAGCCATTAGTCTAATAATTGAAAAATAATTCCATTGAATATATTTAATCCTCCATGTACTTATATTTAATCCTCCTCATGTACTTCTGAAATTATAATAAAAGGGTGGTTTTTAGAACGCTTAACCAAAGTACACTATCTCAACTGCACCTTAACCATCACACACAATTTCCTTTGCACCTTTTACGTCTAAAAGGCCTATTTTCAGGTGGAAATGAGAGCATGGCACAGTTCTCTGCTGAGCTGCTAAATGGATCAGAACATTGTGATAAACTAAGTTTACGGGTTCAATACTAATCTGGATCTTTTAACTTTGAAATAAACTGCTCTCTTAATCAGTCATCTCAAAACTGAGTGCAAACGGGACTGGAGAGAGCATGTGTGAATGTTCACTGCATACCCATAACCACTACTACAAAAATTCAACCTGTAAAATGGCCAATACTTTCTCTGTATATGAAAGCGAAAAGCACAAAAAACTACCATTTGTAACCTCCAAATTTCAGACACACACAAAAGGGAAAAAAGTGGACGAGTTCATCTGTCTCAGTGACATAAGAAAGCTTAAGTATCTTAATTTTAAACAGTAATCATTTCCATAAGATATGAATTTGGCATTAAGTCATATAGCAGTATATGACATCAGAAGGGGCAGAAAATATTTGGCAATATGCCATAACTCTTTTTAAAATTGATGAGTTCAATTTGAAAGGAACATTAGGAGGAAGTAAGTTTATGTTCACAATTTTAAACTCACCACAACATTAAGATATAAATGCTTTATACAAGATATTTTTCCTGACCTTCTAAAGTAAGAACTTTAGAACTGGAGCTCAGAGGTTATATGAGGTTCAGTGGACATTTGCCAGGCCCCTAGCATGTGTGAGACCCAGTGCTCTGTGCTTGCAGGTAAACTCCATTAGCTCAGCCCGCTCACCTTATAGATGCTGAAGTTTCTGCTCATGTCAAATCAAGCCTTTTAGACTTCTGAATTAGAAATGCTGAGCAATGCCATCACAATGGTATAATTCTATTAAAACAGACTGATATCATCCTTCCTCATAATCTAAATAAAATTTCAAAAAGGCAATGTTGACTTAACAGAAACAATAGTCTCTGTGTTTTGAATAACTTATAAAGAATTACAACAATTTAAAAATTCAACTATGAGAGTCCTCAACTAAGTGCTAGTTGCATAATTTACTGCAAAGAACTAAGCATGAGGCACCAGAGACCTAAGATTCTAAAGACACACAAAGCAGAATTAAACCAACTGCTGATACCACTGAAAGTCCTCTATAAGAAAAAAGAAGTATCAATATGAAAAATTAGGTGCTTGACTGGGATATCTATTCTTTATAAAAGATCACCAACCACATACTAACAAAGTTCTTGAGTACCAGTAAACACTGGCAAGATTTTAAGTTATTTAACTATGAGATCACAATTTATGACATAATATAAAACTTCCTGAGGGCAGAGACCCTGTCTAATCCAACTTTTATCTCCAACAATTAGCACCGTTATTAAAATGTTAAAGAGAGAGTTAAACGAAAAAAAAAAAAAAAAAAGAGAGAGTTAAACGAATGTTATGAACTCATGTGAGCTAGCTACTGGAAAATTCAACCTAATGATCTAAAAGGTCTCTTTTTATAATTCAAATTGTTTTAAGTATTAAATAATATTCACTCAAGTGACACTGCATGAAACTTCAGATCAACAACTGTGGCTGTCACTTTAGTACAAACTACTCTCTGAAGGAATTAATAGATACACCAAGAAGATACGTATATTTACATACTTTGATTCAGTAGTCCTTCTGGAAATCAATTCCAAGGAAATATTCAAAAAGAAAGAAAATGTTGCAAACACAAAAGTGTTTCATTGTTATTTTCAATAAGGGGAAAAGGAAACTATCTATATGCCCAAGAGCAGGTAGACAGACTAGTTTGCAACCATGCAAAAAGGTTTAAAATGAACATTAATCTAATTGGCCTTCCTAAGTTGATTTCCACACAGCAGCCAGAACAGTTCCCACAGACTTAAGTCAGAACAGTTCTCTCTTCTACCCAAAACCCTCTAGGGGTTTCCCATTTCATTCAAAGTAAAATTCAAAGTTCTGACCATTGCCTACAGGTTTTACAGTGGCCTCGGCCACTTCTCTAATCGCAAGCTCTCTCATTTTCCCTCCAGTTTAATGGCCTTCTCCAAAAGGCGAAGTACACTGAGTGGTCTCTGCCTGTTATCTTCGTCCCCTAGAGAGCATAAATTCCTCACTTTCTTCAGGTCTCTACTCCAGCATCATGTCTTCCCTGACTACCCTCTTTGCCACTCTCTGCATCCTCTAACCCCACTTTACTCTTCTGCGTATCTCTTACCATCTCACTTATTCTGTATTCATATGGTTATGGCCCATCTCTCCTGATTAGTATATAAACTCCATGATAGCAAGGACTTTGTTTTATTCACATAATAGGCATTTAAAAGAACTTGTTAAACAGATACTGAATACTGATACAATAATTATTAACTACACAAAAAACCATGCATATAAACAAACTTGCAAGAGAACAGGAAAAATGATCTGTGAACATTTTCAAGTGTTGATCATATTGCTAAGGAGTTTAAACAACAAAAAATGTAAGTCAGGCATGATTATGATTTTAAGCTGTCAATAGTGACTATGACAGTCTTATCTCCCTCAAAGCCATTTGTTTAGAATTATTATGAGAACTTTTCCCATAAAACTGTTAATAACAATCAGTTTTAAAATCTTGTTTCCAAAGACCCAAAGTTTAGTCTGTGAGTGTAGACACTCATGCTTGAGGTCACACAGAAGGGGAACAAAGACTTCTGAACAGTTTTAATATAGAACCGAATAATACTCAGAGTTTACATTTAAGACAAGCACCCATGGTTGGCTTCAGAGAGTCCCTGAAGATGTAAAATTCTGTGCCTAAATGTCTATTACTTCTTTACTGAGGAGAGAGTCTATATGTGCATTTCATTATATTCTCAAAGGTGTCAGTGGCCCAGAAAAGGTTAGTAATTACTATTTTGTATGTTGGAAGTGAAGTGAAATCTAATTTGAGCTACCTCTCAAAGGATAGAAAATATATAAAACCAAGACACATCTCTGCAATAACACATTTCATTCAAGAAATACCAAGTGCCTACCATGTGCCGGGCATGGTGTGACTTTGAGCACCTTACACTTAACCATATTTTGTAGTACATAATTCAAAATACATAGGAACAAGATTGACTGAAACACCAGACTAAAAAGAAATCCAGTGAACACAAATATAATTTCAAATAGAGAGTGGTATAGGAAATCATAATAAAGACAGAAACGAGCTCAGGGCCTGATTTAGTGCTTATTATGTCAAAATATCTGCAGGTATCAGTTACATCAAGAGAAAAGAAAAACTACACACACGTGTGCCCACCCCCACACACACACTGTGACAGGAAACCAAAATAAAGTTTCCAAATCCTGTTTCCAGCAGCATCCCTTCTGAGACTGCCCTTCAGCATGCTTTTGAAGGTAGGAGCTCCACGTTAAAACTAAGAGCTGATACTTTACTCTTACTGTGATAAAAACAAAAAGAATCATCTCAAACCCAGGAAACAGAAAACTGTGGCCACCTGTACAGCTGTGACCCATTAACCTCCTGCCCTGTTATTCCCTTTCTTTTTATACCCCACTTCCTTCAAAGCAGTGACAGAATGGTCTTCTCTCCCAAAACGGAATGACTCCTGAATGCTAGTTCTTTTTCCAAGAGGTCAAAAGGTCCCCTAAACTCTGCTTCTTAGTCCTGTGAGTTGATGTCTTCCCCTCATCTTTTCCCCATAGCAGTAAATTACACAATTCAGCTGAGGACACCGTCCTTAACTTCCTGAACAAGGGGGCAAAAAGACACTCCTACCAGTCCCAGGCTGAAGGAAGACAAGAATCACACGGTGACCTCTTCCCTAACAAAATTCAGGGAAGCAGAAACCCAAGAAAGGCAACGCTGAAAAGGCGAACACATGGCATGCTACGGAAGACGTGGGGGACAGAGGGCGGGAAAGGGGCTGAGAGGTGGAGTGGGGTGTAAAGATGTCAGCTCTGTGCACTAGGGGAATGAAGAAATGGGAGATCCCGAACCCTGACAAGTGAACACAGGAAGGACACCGCTCCCGTCTACCCACACTTCTCCAGCAGTCAAGGGAGGTCAGAAAATTCACCCAACCCTCCAACTCCCTTCTTCGCGTGCCCCCCAAAGGGTGAACTGGGTTTGAAAGAAGAGCTGACCGCAGCCAGGGTACAAGCAAGAAGAAAAATGAAGCGATGTCCAATCTAGTACCTCTTTCAGGCAGCAAGGGGCGAGGGCAGTGCGTCCGGGGAGATGGCGAGGGAAATGGGCTTGTGCCATGACACCTCGGGGAGTTGGAGGGTGGGGGACACAATGTCCTCTTTCTCTCCCACACCCGGCCCGGGCCCCTCCCGTCCCTCTCCCGCAGGCCCAGCCACAGTCGACCGGCTCGGTCCGCGGGCGTGGTTGGCTCCGGCCCCGGCGGCGGCGGCCGGGCCTCCCCGAGTCCTGGCCCCTCCCGCCGGGCAGGCCCCCGGGCCGCCGCCCCGGACACCAAGGGAACACGGAGGAGGAAGGGGGAGCCAGGGGACTGACCGGCGACAGAAGCCGCCTCGGCCCGGACTCGTCCGACCCGCGCCCCTCGCTCCCTCCGGGGCCGGCTCCGGCTCCCCGCCCCTCACTCACCCCCCCGGTCCGGCACCTCCTCCACCTCCTCCTCCTCCTCCTCCCTCCTCTCGGCCGTGGCTCCTGCTCCGGCTCTACGCGGCGACGGTGGCGGTAGCGGCCTCGAGAGCAGCGGCGGCGGAGCCTCCAGAACGCGCACGCACGCAGCACGCAGGCCCCGCCCCCAAGCTCCGCCCCGCCCCTTGGAGTCGGCGTCGACCAGGTTTCGGCCCCGCCTTCCCCGCGGCTTTCCGGAGTCCGCTTAAAGGGGCCGCTCAGGAAGGAGGTGGAAGCGCTAAGAACGCCGCGGGGGAGGAGTGGGGAGCTTCGGCTTTTAGCTTGGGCTGGGTTGGCGGGGGCCGGGAGGGAGGCCGGAAATGAAATGAGAAACGGTTCGAAGATTCAGGAGAAGAATTTTGGAGGGAATACGACAGTTTGACAAGTACTAATTGAGCATCTAGTAGGTGCCAGGCACTGTCCTAGGCGCAGAGAATAATGGAAGTAAAGGCCTTCGTGGAACTTGCATTCTAGTGGGAGAGAAGAGACAACAAACAAATAAAATTTTCGGAAAGTGTTAAATGGAGTGAAGAAAAATAAAACCAGGAATGGGATGACTTCATAGATGGCCAGGTATTGCCCCTCAGAGGAGCTCTATAAGCACATACACGTATGGCATGAAGGAATAAGCCTAGCAAATACCTCGGGAGGGAAGGGGGAAGGGGTGGGAGTCGTTCCAAGCTGAAAGAACATCGGCTTTACACGCAGAGGTAGGGATAGCCCGGCATGTTGCAGGACCAACAAAAAAGGCTAGTATGGCTGAGTGTAATCAGCTAGCCGCAGAGCAGTAGTAGGTTGAGAGGTGATGGGAGAGGTCAGATCCTATGGAGCCTTATGGGCTGTTATTAAGAGCAACAGAAAGTCATGGGAGGGTGAGCAGAGGAATGACCGCATCTAGTGCACATTTAAAAGAGTTACTCTTGCTAATATGTGTAAAATACACAACAGGGAAGCACAGATGTCTTCAAGGAGACCAGTGAGGAAGCTCTTTGTGGTCGCTTGGACTAGGATGGCAGCAGAGAAGGAGTGAGAAGGGGTATATCAGAATGTATTCAGATAAACTTTGACTTGGAACGGATTTGGCAAAGAATGTGTGAACGAACAAAAAGCTCATGGCTGATTCTTAAGTTCAGGACCTAAACGGTAAGTTAGTGGTGGTATTATTTAGTGAGCTGGAGAAGATTTAAAGAGAAGGAAATTTGGAATGGGGGAAGTAGGAATTCTCTTTCGTATGTTACATAAAGTGCTTGTTCTACATCCAAGTGGAGATGTTGAGTAAACAATTGGATGGATGGATGAGTCTGAAGATAGGAATTTGGGAATCATCAGCACATAGATGCTTTTTAAGCCTTAGGTCTTACATAAAATCACTTAGGAGGGAGAGTAGCTAGTGGAGAGGACGAAAATGAACTCCAACCTTTGGAAATTCTGTAGAAGAGGAGAAGGAACTACCAGATAGGAGCCACACCAGGAGAGGGTGGAGTGTTGGAAGATAAGAGAATTGTTTCAGGAAGGTGGGAGTGATCAGCCTTATCAAATACTGTTGAAATAAATAAGGTGAAGACTGAAAGTTTGAACACTGCATTTGACCTGAAGAAGGATGCTGATGTCCTTGAGGAAAGCAGTTTCAGTGAAGTCATGGAAGAGAAACTCTGATTAGGGTGTGTTAACTAGAGAGGGGAGGTGAGGAAGAAAAGTGTTTATAGCAAGTCTAAGCAACTCTTGAGGACCTTTGCCCTCAGGATCCACTGAGAGAGAGGAGTACTTGAGATTGTTGTTCAGTAGCTCAGTTGTATCCAACTCTTTTCGACCCAGTGGACTACAGCGTGCCAGGCTTCCCTGTCTTTCACCATCTCCTGGAGCTTGCTCAAACTCATGTTCATTGAGTCAGTGATGCCGTCCAATCATCTCGTCCTCTGTCCTCCCCTTCTCCTGCCTTCTATCTTTCCCAGCACCAGGATCTTTTCCAATGAGTCAGTTCATATCAGGTAGCCAAAGTACTGGAACTTCAGCTTCAGCATCAGTCCTCCCAATGAATATTCAGGGTTGATTTCCTTTAGGATTGACTGGTTTGATCTCCTTGCAGTCCAAGGGCCTCTCAAGAGTCCTGTCCAACACCACAGTTCAAAAGCAAGCAATTCTTTGGCACTCAGCCTTCTTTATGGTCCAATTCTCACATCCATACATAGTAGTAGTAGTAGTGTTAGTCACTCAGTAGTATCCAGCTCTTTGTGACCCCATGGACTGTAGCCTGCCAGGCTCCTCTGTACATGAGATTCTCCAGACAAGAGTACTAGAGTGGGTTGCCATTCCCTTCTCCAGGGGATCTTTCTGACCCAGGGATCAAACCCAGGTCTCCTCCATTGCAGGCAGATTCTTCACCATCTGAGCTATAGCGAAGCCCCCAGAAGACTACTAGGAAAACCATAGCTTTGACTAGATGGACCTTTGTCAGCAAAGTAATGTCTCTGCTTTTTAATATGCTGTCTAGGTTTGTCATAACCATTCTTTAAAGGATCAAGCGTCTTTTAATTTCATGGTTGCAGTCACCATCTGCAGTGATCTTGGAGCCTTGAAAATAAAGTCTCTCACTGTTTCCATTGTTTCCCCATTTATTTGCCATGAAGTGATGGGACTGGATGCCATGATCTTTGTTTTTTGAATGTTGAGTTTTAAGCCAGGTTTTTCACTCTCTTCTTTCACCTTCATCAAGAGGCTCTTTAGTTCATTTGGGATTTAGGGGAGATATTTTAAAGATAGGAGTTGTTTCCTTATGTTGGTATGCTGGAATGATCCTTTAGAGAGGTAAAGGTGATGGTGCAGAAGATAAGAGGGGGCCAGTAGAGAAAGCTTGTCCTTCAGTGGGTGAGAGGCAATGGGACCTAGCGTAGAAGTGGAGGAGGTGACTGTGGATAGGAGCAAGGACAGTATTTTAGGAGGGAAGGCAAAGTCTATGGGCACCAACACGGTTAGGTCAGGTAGTGAATTTGGTGATGGCCTATTCAGGCCTTGTCTGTGCAGGAAGCATGTGGGAGCTGAAATCCAGCCTCTGTTTTTCCAACCAAGTTTTGAGGCCAAATCAACCTGGAGGAAGGGGCACCTGTTCTAATTGCTCCAACTGCAGAGGCAATGCCTTTTAGAAAATCCTCCATATTATACATACGCACACATACACAGTCTGTGTGCTCCTTTTCCCAGTTTGTACCAAATAATCTTTGCGCAAGTTGCCTCAGTGGGTTTGATGAGGTAGATGAGGGCTGTTGAGCTTTCTTTTATTCTTAGCAATAGAAAGCTGTGAGTGGGGAGGGGCTGTTGGGTATATGAGATGGAAGCTGTGAGAAAGATGGAAGAAGTGAGAAAGAATTCCCTCACAGAGTGGAAGTGTAGTATGGACAAGGCTGAGGGTCTTTTTGAGTTGGTGGCCCTATATTTAAGTGAGACCACTCAGCAAGGTTGTATGGTTTTTCTCCAGCCACATTCCATAGCTTGCAGTGTTGAAGGAGAGGTAGATCTGGCCAGGGCTGGTTTTTCCTGATGGAAGTCATGAACAGGGGAGGAGAGTAAGTCAAGGAGTAGTTATAGTGATAGACTTTAGAATCTAAGCTGGGAGGGAAAAGCTGTTTTGCTGTTGGTTGCTAAGTTATGTCTGACTCTTTTGGACACCATGGTCTGTAGCCCACCAGGCTCTTCTGTCCATGGGCTTTCCCAGGCAAAAATGAATACTGGAGCGGGCTCCCAGAGGGCAAGTAAAAAAGCAGTGGGGTCAATCGTTTGGTGGTCCCTGTAGGAAAGAAGAGTTCAAGAGAAAGCTATCAAAAGTGGAAGCAAGGGGACTTTCCAAGAATCAAGCATGGGAAAGGGTGAGTGAGGTGTCTGTGAGAAATGAGGTCCAAGCAGGTACCTCGGACTTGAGGGAATACCAGGCTCTCGGGCTCCTGTCTTGTCATAGTCCTTGTGATCCACAGACCTGGGGGAGGTTGAAGGCAGGGGATTGTGTGGCTTTACGAGCCTTGGGAGAGTCCCTCGTGCCCTGCTTTACTCACCCGAGCATTTGTGTAGGTACTTTGTCCTGCCTGATGTTTGACAGAAACGAAACATCTTTCCTCCTTACTTCTGCTTTCCTGCTCCTGGCATTATCTTTCTCAGTCACTCACCCACCAAACCTTAGCCACCTTTAATCCATCTTCCCCATCCCTGCACCCACTTGATCCCCAAAGTGTAGCGACCAACACCATCCAACAGAATGTTCTGCTGTGATGAGAATGTTCTTTATCTGCATATCTAATACATGTGGCTATCGAGCATTGACTGAGGAACTGGATTTTATAACTTTGTTGTTGTTCAGTCGCTCAGTCATGTCCGACTCTTTGTGACCCCATGGACTACAGCACGCCAGTAACAAAGTTTACAACTTTAGTGTATGTAAATTCAGTTTAGATAGCCACATGGGGCTGGGGGGTACTGTATTGGACAGACAGGTATAGACCTGTCCTACCCAGTGTCTTTTCCATCCGCCCCTGCCTCCGTGTCCCCATTGCCAGTGCCCTTGGTCAGCTACTGATTACCCCTCCTCTAGACTTTGGCTGTGGTTTCCTGTTTGGTCTTCTGCTTAGTTGCTTTCCCTTCAATCCATTTGATGTTCTTGCCAGAACCATCTCCCTAAAGCAGTGGCCAGATCACGGCTCCACCCTATTTTAAAATTATCAGTAGTTTCCTGTCAAATTAGGTAAAACTGATTAATATGACATTTGTCCAGTTGAATGTCTCCATCCCCCTTTTCCAGCCTTACCCTGCACTGCCCCTTTACATAATAGAGCTCTGGTTCTCAAGCAAAACTGAACTGCTTGCTATATTTCCTACCAATCTTTTACAAAGCAGCTAACTCACTTGCGTAAATTGTCTCTGCCTGGAACAGTGCCTCTCATTTCTTCTTCCAGACCCCAAATCTGTTGAAATTCTTGAAGGCCTGTCTTACATAGCAGTTTGTACCTGGAAACTTTTCTGATTTTTGCTCTCCTCTTAAATACAGTTTCTGGGTTTTGTTGTTGTTGATGTTTGTTTGTTTGCTGCACTGCACGGCTTACTTCCCTGACCAGGGATCAAACCTGGACCCCGGCAGTGAAAACACCAAGTCCTAACCCCTGGACCGCTAGGGAATTCCCTACAATTTCTGTTTTTAACCTCACCTGTGGCACTCATAAGTA